AAAGAATGTGGCAAAGCTTTCACTCGGTTTTCAAATCTTAGACGACATCAGAAAATTCATACTGAAGAGAAACCCTACAAATGTAAAGAATGTGGTAAATCCTTTAGACATAGTTCATACTTTACTCAACATCAGATAATTCATACTGGAGAGAAACCCTACAAATGTAAAGAATGTGGCAAAGCCTTCACTCATTTTTCAAATCTTAGACGACATCGGAAAATTCATACTGGAGAGAAACCCTACAAATGCGAAGAATGTGGCATATGCTTTACCCAGTCTTCAAGCCTTAGACAACATCAGGGAATTCATACTGGAGAGAAACCCTACAAATGTAAAGACTGTGACAAAATCTTTTACTGTAATTCACACCTTACTCAACATCAGAGAATTCATACTACAGAACGCCTATAGATATAATGTATGTGAAAAGAGTTTTATTCCAAATATACAACTTAGAAATCACCAGAGAGTTCATAAAAAACAAACTTTACCAGTGCAATAAAGCATGGAAGTATTTAATAAAAACTTAAGTATAAGTGCATCAGGGGATTCATACAAGTAACAACTAAAGCACTCTTTCACACTTTACACTAACCCAAAGCATTTATTGTAGAGAATAATGTGAAGTCAAAGCACTTAGATAATTTATCTGATCATATTTTTCAAAAGAACAAGAATATTGATGTTTAGACAAGTACAGTTATATTCCAAGGGTACTTTGTATTGACAGTATTGAAATTTTTCAAATGCAAATATTAATGTAATTCTCAAATTAGTTGATGCTATGCCTTCATTCTTAATGTTTATGTAAAAATATGTGATCTGTTATTTTTGGATCAGAGCTATGAGGGGTCATTCAATATTAGGTAAATATGATTAATATCAATTTTTCCATGAAAGTTTAATGGCAAATGTAAAATACATTAAGAAATGTAAAGAAAGTTACTTTTTGTGTTTGAGTCATAAAACAATGATGCAGGTAGGTATACAGTATGTAACCTAATTTTTTCTTCTGTATTAAAGTAAGAGAGAAACATTCTAAGTTTTCAAAATAAATCATTTTACCAATTGCTCCTTAAGTAGGAAAAAACTGGCCAGTTAGTTAAAATACTGACGGATCTTCACAGTAGAATCAAATAAAAGTCTTGAATATTATTTGATGTGATAGAGGATATAGAAACCTGGAATGTTATTTGATGTAATAGAAATAAAAACATCTTCACAGATACCAGAGTAAAGTGAAGATAACTCCTATCTGAAAGATTGTATATGTATGATATATGTTGATATTGTTCTAATAAAGATTATATGAAAATATAATTCAAAGTCTTACCTTTAAATCCAAAATCACCATTCATAAAATTTTACCCAATAGTTTTCTTTGCACATGGTCCTTTCCTGGGCCAGTTGAACACATAGAGATGATTTGTTTAGATTTACATTGAATGCAATATACAATATATTGAGCTAAAAACAAACTTTGTGTAAGAGAACTATAGAGGAAGAAATGTGTGTGTGTGTGTGTGTGTGTGTACCTCTCTTCAGAGGAAAATGGAAATAATGAATCAAAACATAATTTCACAAGATTTGATGATTTACAAGCAAACTAGACTGTACAAATTCTCAAAGCAAATTTAGTTTCTCTATTGTACATTAAATATATTTCTCACAAATCTCGTGTCTCCAGGGTGAAGAATGCCCCCATACAAATCCTATCCTTTTACTTGCTGCCTATTCAGTTAAAGTAATTATATAATTTTCTTATCCTTCAAATTGTTGAACAAAGATGGACATGCTCACACTTCAGGCTAAGGCAGCTTCCACCCTTCAAGCTACACAAAACAGTAGGATAGATTTTCCAACTTCATCTTCTCAGTTTCAAACTTATCCATAAAGCCAATTGGTAACATGGATGTGGAGGTAATTGTTCACCTAGCTTTTGTACCTTCCTCTCAGCTGATAACTAGCTTCTATGATCACTTGCAAAGCTCCTAGTAATGGCCAATCCACTGTTAATGCCTAATGGTGATCTTCCTTACCTTAGAGGTAATGCAGTTTTCTACTGACAAGTTCTTTAGTCCCTCTGTAATTGTAGGGGCATCCCTGTACTCAGTACTTGGCATGCATCTTACAAACGGGCAACACCACCCCAAATAGATGAGAAGTAACACTCCAGACTTTTCACTCCAATACTTTCTTCTTCTTGCCCATACTTTGGTTACTGGATTTGTCCTGACTAGCTTGTCTGTTGTTTTGTAAAATGTCCATAAATGCAACGTTATGCTCAAATGCAGAAGGAGCCAGGAAACCAAAGAAGAGGCAGACAAATCCAATTTGTCAGTAGAGGGTGATTTATTATGGAATTTATGGATAGGTGTATGATCATGGGTGGCAAAAAGACAAATTGATCTCCATGCTGTTATACCCCAGATACAGGGCTTATAGACTATATGAAAAGAATATACATATTCATGTGGAGAACAATTAAAGTTGACCTTCCAGGAAAAGACAAAAATGCCAATGTTATGTACATCATAGCCTGTAATTTGTGTCATAGCATTAAGGTTGTTTTGACCTAAGGGCAGTATTTATGGTAATGTGTGCTCTTATACAAGAAACAGTTGATAAAGTAAAAATCTGAGAGACATTCCCAGAACTGGGGTTAATTAGAAGTCAATGTGGCATATTAGCATCCAAGAGGGAGATACTTTAGCCTCCACAAAGCTCCCTGTCTAGTACTATGGAGATCTTAGGGTTCAGAGGAGCCCAGTGGACACTCAACCAGGCAGTTTAAATCTCTTTGATTCCCAAATAAACGACAATCAAACTTGCATAAGTCCCATTTATTCTTCCTTCTTTTTCCTCTCTATAGAAAAAGTTCCAGAAAATTTTAAAATGTTCCCAAAAGAAGACACTGAACACAGTCTGCTCATCAGTGAAAAGTGGAGGCCAGGAGATGAGAAGCAAGTATTTGGAGGGCAGAGAAAATGGCAAAGTTGAAAGAGGTACTGGGACAGGCATGAGTGTGTGTTTTACCTTCTCACTGAAAGTTTACTTTAAAAATACAAATCACCAGTCATGTCTAATCAGGGCTAACAGGAAGAGAGATGTGTTTGTCTGTGGACAGGTCAGAAGTGTGGAGACAGGAGGCCCTGGTAATAGAATGTGCTGATGACAGCTGGGATGTTCAGCAGGGGTGATGAACTGGCAGAATTACCAGTTCTCTGGCTCCAGTGCTGGTCCATCCTATTGGCACATAGCTTTCTCCAGGCTGTTGGGTAGATATGGTAGGGGGCTTACTTCCTATACCAAATTAGCCCCAAAATTACTCAGGAAGCCAAACCCATTCTGCTGCATCTGTCTGTACTGCATGGGGATGGGCTGGCTGCCTAAACTAGGAATGGGGATGGCCATTCCATGGGCCAGTTGGGCATATAGGCTGCCTAGCTTTGAATTCCAGGGGGCATACTGGGTACAGACATGTTTTTGCTGTGACTGTCCACTCTGCCCCTTTGTAGACACTGCTAATCAATCACAGTCAGGATTCTTAGCCCAGTGACCAGTTAGCATGTGTTCCAGGTGGCTTAAGAAAAGGATCTGGAAGACTCATGCATTCCTTCCTGACCAGATCTCAGAGCCTTCCATGTAAATGAGGAAGCAAAGTGTCATCACCAATTACCCTGAGAAGACCCTGTCTTATTAGTCCCAGATAGCACCTTGGGTGACCACTTCCTGAGTGGAGGAAGAGACAGTTCTGTGCAAACTCCCTTCCTTAGGATCATGAAGACATTACAGTGGTCTCTTGTGGGCAGAGAAATTCCAGTGGGGCTAGGGCAGGCAGAAGCTACTCAGCTAGGCCTCCCAATATACCCTGTCCCCCTCCCAGCATGTCTGGGCTTGGCTGGGGAACTAGACAAGCATAGAGACCCCAGAAGTTGGGACCCAGGTCAGTGGTGATGCTGACCACAATCACCATTGTGGTGATTACCCAGTGAAAAAAATTCCAGTGTAAAACTATAGCTATCTGCAATAGCATGGATGAATATCAAAAATATGTTGCATAAAAGAGAGTAGATGTAATAGTATACGTGGTATAAAATTTCATTTATATAAAATAGAAAAAGCAAAGAAATCTGAGGTTCTGGCTTTCAGTAATGGTGGAATAGCTTGTTGAATTACCACTCTCAAAGACAAAAATGATAAAAGCTTAATAAAATATATATCATTGTATAGAATTATGATCAGAGCTATGAGGGGTCATTCAATATTAGGTAAATATGATTAATATCAATTTTTCCATGAAAGTTTAATGGCAAATGTAAAATACATTAAGA